ATACTTAACCATCCAAAGTCAAGACGAGTAACATCCAAAACTGGAGTGCTTAAAAAGGTGACCCAAATGAGGCAAAATAGACAGTACTAAAATCTAAAGTAACATATATTAAAAGAAGCAACTAAAGCTAAAAGGCCAAAAAATCACTGTGTAAAGACACAGATACAACTGCATGCAGTCCACTGAAGACTGCTACTCAACATGCATAAGTAATCAGGACCTGAAATGAATGTGATGACTAAAATGCACAATGCAAAACATGATCATTCTGTACTTCAGTAAAATATCCTTAATAGAAATACTGTATTCACTGCTGAACACTGAAGAAGAGAGGAAACGGATCAACTCAGGGCCTAGCAACATGAATACTTGAGGAACAAGAGCAGTTTAAATCTGAGATTAATAGTATCTGAGAGGTGAACAATGAGAAGTAACAAAAAAATACCCAAGTTAAAAGGAAGTTCAAGAAGAACCAATTAAAAATTAGCTTGTATGTAAACAACTGTTTCATTTCATGTCCCCTTCCATGCTCCCCCTCCCTCCAGCCTAACCTTACAATGCTTAAGACAGGTTTTTAACTAGAGCCAGAACTAGGCTAGAACTAGGCTCTAGTTAAAAGGCCAGGAAACTTTTCATCATGGGCAAGTCATTCCACAAAAAAGTGAAAACTACCCCTCCTTCCTTTGAAACATCTCATATGAAACAACATATCTAGATACAGCAGTGCTCAAGGCCAGGTTGGACAGAGCCTTGGGTGACATGGTTTAGTGGGAAGTGTCCCTCCTCACGGCACTAGATGATCTTAAGGTCCTTTCGAACCCTAACTACTCTATGATTCTATGATAAAGTAGTGGACTGAACTACTCTTACCACAGATGGTCAGAAAAGCCACCAATATTTATGATTCTAACCTGGGTCTTCAAAGCCTGAGTGTTTGGTCCATTCTAGATTTTAGGCACCTGCTTAGTCAAATCTCTTAACCAGAATTTATAACTTTTAAAAATTAAAATAATTCTACTATCTCTAAGACTAACTGTTTGCAATTTAGGTATGTTTTTAAAGAATAAATGTCAAATCAGCAACTGAATACTTCACAGCTGCAGGTACACCTAGAAACTGAAGTCTTCTAAAAAGTTGCTTTCACCTTTTAATCATAAAAAACTACTAAGGATCAACTGGTATTTTATTCTGAAGTCTACAAAGACCAGCTGAAACTGCTGATGTTCAACTGCCTACTCATTAGCACAAGTTAAGCTTTAAACTGAGACACTGCTAAAGTGTATCTGTGCAAATGTACATTTAAGCATACATCCAGCCCCCCAAAAGCATCTGTATTTCCAATACTAAAATCTTAACAGCTCTGCGTCCAAGAAGGATCTCCGTCTAATGTCTGACAGTAGTTAAGATGCAGACTGTGTTTTGGTCATACATAAATTCATTTAAAATATTAATCTTTAGGGAGAACGTAAATTATTTCAAACCTTACATTATGTATATATTAAAACTAAGTATGAAGTTACAAAAGTAAATTAGCAAAGTTTTGTTTTTTTTTTTTTTTTAATGCAAGAGAAGTTTTAGTCTGCAGCTTTCCTGAAAAGATCAAAGTTACCATTAGATAAGTGAGATTCATCATGAAAATTTTTTCTTTGCATTAACATTGTTGAGTGTAGGAAGTCCTCAGAAGCTTCATGTATTGTTTCTAAGTAGCTTAATTTTTCAGAAGGTCATGACGTGAATCCCCAAGCAACTTCTGTGATGCCTTCCAGGCACATCTGGTTTTCTAGACAAATTATGACATTATAACAGCAGACCTACTCCCCAGATCAACTATGCTAGGTGATGAGGAACTTCACTAACCTCAGAGATGATTGAGAATCAGCTAGACTGAATTAACTTTAATTATAATCACTTTTGAGCTCGAAGTAATTTACAAATTAAAATTGACCCATAAGCACTAAACCCATCATCACAACCGTTTCTTGGATTAAACAATACTTGTACAACTCAGTTCTGCCCTATTATTTACTAGCGGCTTTCCTAATAAGTTAGATGGCATGCAGTCGCCCAGAGGAGAAGCTAACTTGGAAAAACCCCCAAATCTAGTAAAATGCAACTGGTATTAAAAGTCTTACTTCTGTCTGCAAAGTACTACCTTCTGTACCACATAAATACCAAAGCACTATCAACTCATGGAAAAACCCAGAGCTGAAGTCCCACTGAATAGGTATACAAACACAGAAAACCAAGCAGGCATTGAAAGAACACCTGCATCTCCATTCTCTGCTATCTGTCCAATTCCTAAAGCAGCCCAAAGAAATAAGAAACAAACATTCAGTTTGATACAGCATGTTTTACAGCTGCATCACAAGAACCTGAAGACAAATTGGGTTACAACCATATTAACAAAAAAGTGTAGATACTACAGATATTATCACTACACCCCCTGGTCTACTAGAACAAACTGGCTTTCACCAAAGGATTCAATCAAAAATTCGTAACAGATGATATTTGTCTTACATCCCCTGAGATTTCTCACTACTGAAATTCAAATCCTGAAGTTATTTTATTCCCCAGAGAAATACAACTTCTGCCCCAATAAGCTGAGCTCTCCATGTTACAATTACTTCAACTTCTAGAAGCTAAGTGAATAAACAGATTTATAGCAATGCAACAATACAGTAAGCCTTGAAGATTTGGAGTTCTGTATTAAAGTACATGGTCTCAGCCTGGAAGACCCAGGTCTCACTCAGGGTTGTGAAAATTCTGTTAAACTTCAAGACTGTTAACTTCATAACATACATGCCCACAATAACTTGCTTTCGGTTTCACTTGTGCACACGTGTTGATTATCAATTATGAAAGCAGCAAAATTTCAAAAAAAACCCAACCAAACAAACATACAAAAACAGACCAAGCATTTCCAGGGTGCTAAGAAAGCAGACCACCATAACAAGTCCTCTGCCTGCTCCCAAGAACAGTTTCTGAGTGAGGTCAGGGCTAGGTGAAACACAAGACTGTACACACAGTGCTGCAGCAGATCCAGCACTCTGGGCACTTCCTGTGCTGGCTGCACAGGTGTAGGGCAGTACTTCTGTGCACTCCCAGCAATCCCAACACTCACTTCCCAGTCCTGTGAATGTCAGGGAAGGACCAGGGTCTCTGAAAAACACCAGACCTACCACCTGTGCACAAGACACTCATTCTACAAACCTCTGTCCTCAGAAACCAAAACACATGATATGCAAGGTCTGCCAGAAAATACAGAAAAAATGGAGAGGAGTTTGCTAATATATGTATCTTGCAGGAGTAAGTGGGTCACACAAGTTTAAGTTTGGGTATTGATGACCTATTCTAAGCACTTGCGTCAAGGTTTCACATACCTGAAGCCTGAGCAGCCTAAACTTCTGCCTGGTAGAGAAGCACCTCAGCCACTCATATTTCAGTGTATGAAGATTTCAAGCTCTGTTTTGCCATAAGAATTCAGATAATTTCTGGATTTACAAGAGACTGGAAGCCACTCATCTTTCTCCAGTCCAAGCACAGTGCTTTTATCATTCTTTGAAGAGCTTACCACTGGAAAACGGGCACAGCAGGATGACCACTAGCATTTTTGTCAGGAACTACCTACAGCTGTACAAAGCCTTAGGCCTTAGTTCTCCACTCAAATTTTATTTCATGATTGAAAATAACCAGGCACTATTCTCCTGCCTTGTCAGTGTAACGTCCACCAGCAGACACCAAAATACCAATAGAAAGGGGGAGGAGAGGAAAGTATTTGTCATACCTTGAACACCCAATGCCGGCTTCTCTTACCTTCCCTCAAAGGAGTTAAAGCATGAAATCTAAGTGTATCTCCATGGGGCTTCAAACAAGAGGACATGCACAAAACTGAAGTGTGCTTGGAGTTAAAACTCTAGAAGCTGATAACACATTAGTACCATAGCACAGTCACTTGCAGGAAGGTTTGTGTCCCCTTCTGCAAGCAAATGTGGAAGGTTTTGTATTAAACATTGAAAGCCTTGTAATACTGGCAGCATAGGGCCCCTACACACATAGGACAGAGTAGACTGAATATGTTTTTATACGTAGATAGATCTATATGAATGCTAAATGCAAGCAAGTCGTAGTTACTAGATCTGCCAGGTAGTTTCTTAGCCTTCCTTAGTGACAGTCATCATGCACCTCTTGCATTTGCAACCGTGGACAACAGACACATCTACAACCACCTACAAAGGCGGAAAGCAAATGCCTTATTTCGGATGACACCAGCTAGCAGACCGAAGAAGAGGCGCGTCGAACCCAGAAAAACCGTGAAGCAGGAAGCACGAGTTGCCTGTCCCCTGTCTGAATCTCTGGGTCCCCCTGCCAGCAGCAGCACAGCACAGCACGCCCCGGCCGCGGCTGCCCGCACGGGAGCGCGAATAAGGCGCGGGAGCCAGCACAAGGCCACAGCGCGCTGCCATCGCCCCCCCACCCCTCCGCCATGTGCGCATCCACCGTCACCCCAAAACACCTCCCGCGTCCCTGCCTGCCGCCGGACGGACACACACAGACACGCACCCGCTTCTCCCTGTGCCCCTTTCCGGCCTCGCTGCCCACCCCCTCCTCGGCAACGCCGGCCACGCTCCGGCCCCACGTGTTGCCGCGCTGACCCTGCCCCCCCCCCCCCCCCCGCCGCTTCCCAGCGCCGGCCCGAGCCGCGCGGCCCGTTCTGGCACCTCCGCGGGGCGCGGCGGGGAGACCCGCGAGAGAGGGGCAGGGCGCGGCGGGCAGCGCACACCGCCGAGGGGACGGGCGAGCCCCCGCGCTGCCACCCCGCGGGCCGCCGGGGGGAGGCTCGGGCACCGCCGCCCGCGGGGCCGTGCTAGGCCAGGCCGGCACCCGCGGCCTCCCCGAGCGGGAGCAGGGTCCAGCCACCCGCCCTCGCCACCCCCACCGCCCGCGCACACCCCCCGGCGCCCGGTGCGGCCACGGCCCCGCGGCGGGGCCCCGCCCGATACCTGCGCGGGCCGGGTCTGGCGGTGACTCAGGAGCGAGGAGGAGGCGCCCGCGCGGCTGGCGGTAAAAAGACCCGAGCTCCCGCCGCTCGCGCTCATATAGAATTAACGTCACCACGCAAACCCCCTCCCCCTCCCCCGCGCGCCACGGGTCTCCTGGCAACGCGCGAGCGAGCGCGCTTTCCCCTCCCTCTCCCGCCGCCCTCCCGCCACGCCTCGGGCGCGCGCGGCAGCCGTTGGCCGGGGCCGGTTCGGGCCCTAACCGCCGCGCCGGGCGGGACGTGTGTCCTCGCACGTACCCGCCACGCACCCGAGCGGAGCGGGCGGCCGCGCCGGTCCCCTGGCCTGCCTGGCACCCTGCCCGCCCGGCCCGCGCGGATCGGAGGCACCCAGAGGTGCTGCCCCGCATGGTGGGCCACGGCATAGCGCTCGAAGTACAGTGCTGCCCCGGCCATTTAGTGCTGCTGTAAACCTCAACGGGGAGGGTTTCTGAAGGGGCCTGAGCAAAAACAGAAGTTACTGAAACGGGTAAACCCCATTAACACAGGCTACCACAAAACCACAGTCGGCACTACTTACCTTAAACGACCAGGCTGAAAACCATGGTGGTTCAAACGCTGTCTCGTGAGTTTCGATGGTTCCTGCCTCAGCCAGGGTGGACAGCCTGAGGCAGCAACAACTTCAGCCCTCCCATTTTAACCTGCTGTGCTTGCCTGCCAGTCACCTAAGCAGCCTGGTTTCCTGCAAACACCTCTCATGCCTGTCTGCAAGCTCCAAGCGAAGTCTTTCCTAAGAGTGATTCCTTTCTAGGGTTTCCCTCCCATGCACGTGGTCTTGAGTAACAGCACGGAGCACACTTGGAGAAGACATCTGTGATCCACAGCAAACTTAGATAAATATAAATGTCTTTGAGACTTTTAGCTCCTCTTGGCTGGAATGAGCCGGTGATTTCAAATGCAATTGGAGACAGTTGGGATGGACAAGACATATGGCAGGATGGCAGAACAGCTGTTTGCTGGGGCTGTATCACCTCCTATTTAACGTGTATTCTTTATATTTTGCTAAATTCTTGCATCTACTTGTCTAAAACAATCTGCAGTCCAAATGTAGCTATTTATATAATGCAAATGACCACAGAAAGCAAAAGAGGAAGGAAAAGTGGTGGATCTGTCTAGTATCTGCAACACAACCTACATTAAGAACAAGATAAAGGACCTTATTCTTGACTACAGTGCCACACGTTTTATTCCAGTATATGGCAGATGTCTTTTGTGGTAAAGAAATCCCATCTGCAAGACAGGAGTTTATGGAGAGCTTAAGGATGCACAGTTTCCCAGCACAATGAATTCTGGGAAGTGGGCTTTTTTATAACTTGCCATTTCAAATAGCTAGAAATGGTGAAAGGTAAGCAGGCAAAAAAAAGATCCCGGCAAAAGGTTGCACAGCATAGTCCAAGTCATAAGAATTAGAGAGAAACAGGATGGAGATGTTACATGATTCTAAAATGAAAGTGCCTGTAGGCCCCTTGCAACCTTCAGATCTTAAAATTGTACTAAGTGCTGATTATTTATTTATCTGAGATGTCCAGTGCTTGGGAATATGAAGAAAGCAGAGGTGTACAGAAGGCATTTGATAAAAACAGACAATGGACTGGTATTTATTGCAACACCAATTGCATGCTATTGCAGGCGTTCCCTTTATTCAATCAGCTGAAGTGGCAATCCTCTGTAAACAAGTGATTCACAAGGCAGCAGCTAGCCTTGCTTGTCTTGGAGAGACCTGCTGCCTCGTGACATGCAGAACTCCAGGGTGAGGCCTGGTGACCACTGTAGAGAAACGGTGTGCAGCAGTGAGATGTGCAGACGCTGGCAGAGTGCAGTAAAGAGTAAGGTCACCAGCAGCAGGGGACATGATGTGCCGACACGTCTAAGCAGGCCTAAGTGGGAAGAGTGTCCCTAGACTGGGGGGAAAACTAAGTATGTCTCCCTTAGGACATATGGGAAAACCGTATGTCCTAAGGGAGAGGACATACGGACATCACTCCTGCTTCCACATGGTACCTGCCATCACGCCTGTATTGAAAGAGGAAAAGACAAGCCTACTTCTTACAATACCTGAATTGTACGTACACGCAAGCTTTCTGGTTTGGGTTGGTTTTGACATCTGTGCAGTTGTGACAATGAGACTAAAGAAACTTTAAAGTTAGACTTGAGTTGAAGTTAAACCTATACTTGAGTTTTAATGGCCTATATATTTTTCTTTGCTTTGAATTTTCATCTGCTGTGTGTCTCCCATGCTCTGGAGCATCCTCTGCAACTTTTAGTTTCAACCTGGCTGGATAGTTGGAGTACTGCCTTGGTATGGCAGATGGTCAAAATGGTGTTACATTTCTTCAATAATGGGAATCAGATCACCTGAGAGCACATTAGATACTGGCGTCAGTTTATATTCGGGATTATTTTCCTCATATCTCATATATTTTCCTCACATATTTTCCTCATTATTTTTCAAAATATCACATCTTGAAGCTTTTTTAAAGCCTTAAAACATGCATGTAAGAAATGTGGAGATGTGATCACTAAATGGGCAGAGACAGAGTTTTCTCCAAGCTGGAAGAGCTTTGGTAAGAGACACAAGAACTGCTGTATGGTATAGAAGGGGCAGGTCTCCTGGGGACGGTGGCTTGAGGTCAGATTGCTGCTCAAGATTAGCAGAAGAGTTTGCACCAGGTCCCTCCCATGATAGTTGAGTGGGAACTATGGACTATCAGAGGATCTGACCTCGCCCCCTGAGTGCAGGCCTTATCAGCCATGCTCCCCTTTGAGTCCTTTGAGTCCCACAGCCTGCAGAACTGACTGGCACGTTGACTGTAGAGAGAGGCTGAGGCAGGGGCTGTCTCCAGGCAGAGACCATGAGGGTACTCGGAGATGGAGCACAGGCCTTGCTTCGTGCATGCAAGGGCCTGACAGAGGGCAACCACTGAAGCTGTTGCAGAATGTTAAGCCAGTATTTCTGTAACAGCCTGTTACACTCATGTTGGCTCTCATTGGTACTCATATCCAGGCTGAATCTTCCTGAGCACAGCATGCACCCTGTGTGCTTGGGCTGCATTCAGACTACAGCTAAGCCAAAGTGACAGTGCTTTACCTTGGGGAAATGTGTTGGTCATGGAGTTTGTATGCTTATTTTGGATCAAGAGCTCCTCTGTGGCAGGTGATTCACTGAAGATTTAAGCTGCTTTTTCCCTTTTGTACTAACAGAAAAAAGCAAAAGGTCCTTATGTGGACCTGGATATGATTACATGAACACCTAGACACCCCTTCAGAGTACTAGGCATGCTTGGCACTTACCAAAGGCTCAGTTTTACAGGACTCATCTCTGGGACCTGCTCAGCACTGCAGACCTGCAATGTACAAAAAACTATGACCACACGTTCTTTTCTACACATAGCTGTTTCAGATCAGCTTGCCCCTGACTGTTTTCCGAAGTACTGATTGCCCAAGGTTACCCTCTCCTGAAATCTCTTGGCAGTGCTCCTTGTGTGAGCACCGAGTTACAATGAGGGATGATATGAACACTCCTTGTCTGCTTCTGTCTGCGGTAGCTGGCTGAGTTACAATCACCATGGAAGTTATCATCAGTCACCGAAAATGAGAGCACCCTCACTGAGCTATTTACAGAGTAAAAAAACCCCAAGGTTCCCCAAGTGCCACAAAGAGATGCCTTTTCCTTGGTACAGTTTAAAACTGCAATGAATTCCTGTGCGGAAGTACTAGGTTTACCAGTACACAATGAAAACAGTGAATCCAGAGTATTCCTTTTAAAAGACTGAATTGCTTTCCTGTGGCAAAAAGCAATTCTTTCAGCTCTTACTGAATGATTATTCCAAATTACATGGCTAGCCAATGAATGATACAGTGCAGAGCTGTTGTTAGTTCTTCCACGTATTGTTTACTTTTTGAGGAACTACTTGTTTTCTAAAGGAAAGTACATCATCCCAGAAAACAAGTCATGGTTTATAAACAGAGCCACAGACAGCACAGAAAGTTCTGCTGAACTATCACATGGCAAATCATGCAAATCCCTGCGTGGAGCTGAATGAACACTTCTCACAGATTTCTGGTTTGCACTTGCTTTTGCTTTTGTGCAATGAGAGCAAATTTTCCCTCAGGGAACACATTTGTAGTCAGGGGTAGCAGCAAACTAAGGGAATACAGTGTGGGTAACCTTTGAGATAATGTAACAAAAGACAAAGAAAAATGACATGGCTTGGAAAAAGTGAAGTGCTGAAATGTGATTATACACTTTTTGACATAATAAACCTTCAACTTCTTTCATTTCTCAATATTTTTAACTCTCCAGAGGACTAAATCATGGACTAAATCATGACTCTTCTCTTCCACTATAGGAACTGCTCATAGATACAGAAGGTATAAACCAAAAATAACAAGAAAAAAAGCCCGAAACAACCTGACTTAGGGAAGAGATGAAGAAAACAGGGTTACAGTGTGGAGTGGTAAGCTGGGGGGGAAAGGTAAATGATATAGGTGCATTGAAATTGCTGAAGAAATGGATGTGCAAGTACTTTAGAGGTGGTACAGCAGTTAAAATCTCAAGTACTTGCAGTCAGTGTTTTTTAGGGTCATTCCTGGGAGCTAGAACTCACTGCAGATTGTTTTTTTAAATATTACACTTATTGTGAAATAAATCTATCTAAAAAGCAACTATGCTAACAAGTATCCCTGTAGAACAGATTTTTTAAAGAAGCTGGATGTGGAAACTGATAAATTATTAATTTATTACATGAAAACAAGTCTTTTTATTATGCATATAAATTACTTAAGTCATAAGAAAAAAAAATGACATTAAATAGAAGGAGCTACATCTCTTGTAGTGCCTGTGGTTGGTCCTAATGTATCTAACTCTTAACACTACAGTAAAATTATATACAGAGTATACCTGCTACTGCTAAAAATGCCCACGGAAGCACCCCTCTTAGGGACAGGAAATATATTCAGCCCCAGAACTGGGCAGGAAAAGGTTCTGAGCCATATGAAAAAAATAGCATCCCAAACACAGGGAGGAAAAGACAATAACCCGTTCTCATGGACTGTAATCCCTCCCTC